ACACATACATATATACACACATACATATATATACACACATACATATATATACACACATATACACACATATACACACACATATACACACATATACACACACATATACACACATATACACACATATACACACATATACACACATATACACACATATACACACATATACACACATACAAAAAAAGGTCGGAAAATAGTAATTTTCGGTTTTGGCCTGACAAATTCTTGCGTGGGAGGTGCGTAGCGGTACCATTCGTTTTAATGGCACCACAAATGCGCTTCCCGCCTGCAGTGCGGCACAACTGTAAAAAATTGTGCATGCAGTTTTACACTCCATTTGTGTATTTTATTTGAAATAAGAATGGTATTTTTTTTAATTCTTTTAATCTAAAATATAATCGGCCAACTAATCGATTTATTTAAAAAAAAAAAATCATTAGTTGCAGCTCTAGAAATAAGTATTTCTTTCCTATGCTCCTCAGTTCCATCTAGTGGCCATAATGCGGTATTGCATTACATTCGACCCGTAAAGAATATATACTAAGAACGTACTGGCCCATATTGTTCTCTCCTAGCACTGACCCACGTGCTCGCTCATGCTCCCGGTACTGACCCACGTGCTCGCTCATGCTCCCGGTACTGACCCACGTGCTCGCTCATGCTCCCAGTACTGTCCCACGTGCTCGCTAATGCTCCCAGTACTGACCCACGTGCTCGCTCATGCTCCCAGTACTGACCCACGTGCTCGCTCATGCTCCCAGTACTGACCCACGTGCTCGCTCATGCTCCCAGTACTGACCCACGTGCTCGCTCATGCTCCCGATACTGACCCACGTGCTCGCTCATGCTCCCGATACTGACCCATATTGTTCTCTCACTCTCTCTTACACACAACAAAAACACACTTGTGACTCTTCCCTGGTCCAAAGTCTCTGGTATAATTCCTGAACAATCCCAAAACATAACGCTGTATTGGAGACCACCATAGGCCAAATCTTCTGTACACATATATGAAACTCTACAAAAAATAATGATAGAGAAAAGAGCTGTGTCCCCAAGAAACATTGTTTATTTGTATACAACTTCATGTGGAATACTCAAATACCTGGTCACCTGGGAATCTCTCCCTCTCCCTCTCCCTCACCACACTTCTAACTTATAACCCAGTGTGCAGGCAGGTGACTCCAGAAAGTGTAAATTTGAACCAGGAAGTAGTGGTGTCACCTGCCTGGCTTGTGCAGAAACAACGAAATGATACCATTGTCACCGTATGACCCGTATCTCTTTGCCTGGAGGTCAGACCCTGACATGGATTTGGCTTTTATGCAGCCGTTCTATTCTTGGTAGCAGAGTGTGTTGGAGGTTGGCACCGTGGACTGCCAGCACTACGATTCTGGGATCCGTTATTACCAGAGACTATTTCCTCAGTCCATTTGTCCACAAAGGTTTACTACTTTATTTTAGTGAGTATGAAAATATTGGTCACGTATGTCATAATCTTCGAATAAGTTCTTATTTTATTGCCGTCCTGTGAGATTGCACTTCCCTGGGATTTCCCAATGTTGACATATTCAGTCACAAGCCGTCCCGACCCAATCACATGATGAACATACCAGTCTGACCACTACCATGTGTGCTCACATTCCCTGCATTCACTGCCACATAATAGACATAACGTATGTGTAATGTCACCATAGTCTATGTCCCTCCCTTTATGTTACCGCCTAAAATACTGACCGGGTGACACGAACTGGGATCTGCCTTTAGGGGTCTGTTGTAGAAAACAAAATTAGGAGGCATTTTTGAATGAAGATAAAAGAAAATGTATGAGTAGTATCGGCTTGTGGTGGTTAAATGTTTTTTTTTTTTCTAATAATGACTAGAAATCCGTGAGGGGAATTTTATTAAGGCCCCGTTCACATATAGCGAATTGTCGCGCGATTTCCGCCGCGATATCGCGCATTTTTGCCGCGGGATATCGCGAGAAGTCGCCGGCCAATGTTATTCAATGGAGCTGTCTTAACTCCATGTCGCTCGTCGCGGTCGCAAGTCGCTTCTACCGGACCCTTTTTTCGGCGGATTTTGCGCGATTTTACTTTTTTTCTATGGAGCCCGACGGGGAAGGTCGCGCTACCGTCGCTGGATCGTCGCCCCGAAAGTCGCGCTATCCCGGCCGTGCGGATCCGCTGCAAAAGGTATGTCGCTATATGTGAACGGGGCCTAAAGCGGGAGCAGAGAGAATCCTGGAGCAGTTGCCCATGGCAACCAATTAGCTTCTCTCTAGTTTGCTCAGGTAAGATTTGAAAATGAGACAGAGAAGCTGATTGGTTGCAGTGCAAATCTGCTCCAGTTCTCATAAATTCCCCCCAGTGCATCCAGGGGCAGATTAGATGCTGTGAATGCCTCTAACAACATGTCAAGTAATATTAAAATCTCTTTAAAGAATCTCTTTTTTTTTTTTTTTTTTTTTAGAACTTCCTGTCCAGTATAAGATTACAAGGGCAGAGCAGTCTCCAGCAGGTGTCCCTCTACTAGTTTGGAGAAGGTAGGAGCAGCGAGCAGGGGGAAGGGAAGTGTCTTGCCTTGCTGTGCTTGTGGAGACGCACACAGCTTACTTGCACACACAAGGGTGGCTCCATAGGACCCTGCAAGGGAAAGGAGCCAGCCTAAAACAGGATATCGGGGCCAGTGCTCAGGGGATCGGCTGATTCTGCACCAAACTAAAACTTTTAATCAAGGAGCAGCATCCATTGTAAGTGATTTCATCAGCATTTGAAATGGATTAAAACCTTTTGACTTTCATATCACTTTAAACACAGAACAAGGTCATAAAGTGTAAAGTTTCTTCATATTTCCCAGATCAATTCTGCATTTAAACAAAGACCGGAGGCTCCTGTGAATGATGGTTACTAGGTGTTTGTGTGAGATTTCTATTTCTGCTATACCAACCATGCCCAACCCAGTTTGCAGTCAAAATAAAGGAGATCATGGGCGGCATTATTACATCCTATAATTATAGTAAGGGCATAGTAAGAAT